AACTGTTGGAATGGAATTTTTTAAAGTATTGCGTGCTGTGGAAAACTACTAGAAGATCTAACCATGAAATCTCTACTCAATATCCCTTGCAGGGTAGGCAGAGAAGCGAAATGGAAGATACAGTTGTGAAATCTGATAAGATTTGATTTAGAAGAAATTTGAAAGTCCTCGCATAATTATAGCAATATGATTTTTAAATGTATGTTGCTATGCCAATAACTTGTATCTTTGATGTGTAACTTTGTATCGAAAGCTTTGCTTGACCACCAACTCTTTGATCTGAGGATAAACCCCTGTAGATTAGGGGAGTGTTTGATAATATTTTTATTCAGATTTTGGGTTGTACAACGATGTAAAGATCAGATTAGTCGCGTTTTTACGCTCCGAATTAGAAGGACATTATGTCATAGATTGTAAAATGACCACACGTTGAAATGATCTACCACGGTTCATAGTAGCTGAATCTGGTGCTATCGTGGGAACTTGGTAATAAAATAAAATGTAATGTTTTTCAAAAACTTCAAGTCATTACCCTCGCTACTTATCGAAATGAGTACCTAAACACAAAGATTTTTATTGCCATACGAAAATTTGTTAAATCTTAATAACCTCATAGAACTCAATTCGAATACTTTCGCAGTAAGATACATACCTTCTGTTTGCATATTTTTTAAATTTCAATATATGTAGCTTGGCATAGTAATTCTTTGCCACAATTTTTTTAGGCATACAGTATTGTTGGCATAATTATTTTCTTACCTATTATTCTATCGTTAAGAATTTCTTTTTCAAGGCTGACTGTCGAGATGGGAATAGTTTATTGCACTATCAGTGATTGACTGACACAATGTAGTAAACAATCTTCCGATGATTTAATGTATCACGATAACATAAACTGTAGCAGATATTTTACCATTCACAATTTCTTTTTTGTAACAAGCACAGTGGAAACAGCGGAACAGAACAGTGAAGACAGTTTTTAGTTTCAGAATCTCTTCCGTTTCACTTGTAGGTTAGCACTTGACATGACAAAGCGTTTACAAAGCGCGAGCCGGGGCGTCTTTTGTCTTGCGTCGTTTCTCGTAATCCCTCCTTGACTAATCCCTTGGGATCTTGTTTTGGCTTTGATATAATATGCATTTAACAGGAAGATTAGTATTTAATATATATACTGAGTATGAATTGATTCATCGTATACGATTGTCGAGCTAGGCCCATTTAACATTTTTACAAAAGAAAATATTTATCAAGTATTGTGTCACTGAATGTGGCGGTGCGATGTTTCATCTACCCGTTACTAGATGGCATTACGTGTCATTTATATGTATAAATCGCGCTAACACAGTCGAAACTAGGTATGTCATATCGTATAGGTAGTAGTAGGTTGGAAGAAAGGGTCGAGTAGCCGTTCTGTGACGGGTTCGATGCTTGGCACATAATAAAAGGCTGACTAGCTTCAGATATCCATTTATTTTGTGGTATAAATGGTAAAGAATAGAAACTGTAACAAACAAAAAATGAATATAAAAATAGTTCGTATGTTAAACTAAATATAACATTTAAAATTACTAAATAAAACGAATACATACCCCTTTTTGGGTTTCTTAATAAAAACTTGGATCGTCCAAGTTACAGGATATACATTTAGTTTAAAATTTTATTTTAATAACATATCTTCATTAATAAAATTTTTATATTTAAATTTATACGATTCACAATATTCTTACAGAAGATTTTTTTACGAACTGACACCCATAAAGATTGCACGAATTTTATGTTTGATTAGTTAAAATTTCAAATAACGACAAATGAATTATAAAAAGAAATGGTGTTGAATATCAAAGACAAAAAGTTTGCATGTTGAAACCTAGGACAAAATAAACGGTGGTATGGCACACCGTTACTGTTCTAGTACTTTTTGGTCATGCCTCTATACACCGGTAGGGCTGAGGCCAACCTAGAATATTCTAGGTCCCCGTGGTATCGGCCCCTATAAATACGCGTTGAACTACCCGTACCGGTATTCTTTCAGTGACTAGCGAACTGATGTTGAAAACAGTAGGGTAGACTAGTATAATTAAAACCACAAACAGTATTTAACTTGTATGTATTGAAACTGCAGCCTTTAAATAATAAAATGACACTCTCAATCCTTATTTTTATCGATAATAGTCAAAAGCACAAAACAATATGTCTTTTATTCGAATTCATTCGCAAACACTAAAGAAGCAATGATAAAATAACATAATTAAACTTTATTTTAATGTAAACAGATTAAACCACTTAACACAATTATCTCAGTCCTTCCCCTTTTTTTTTCGGCAAGCCATCTTTTTTTTTAATAATATTAATTAGCAAACGAATTATGATTTTTAAGCCAAACACACTTCCGTCAATTTACACCATTATTATTTATTTATTTTGTAATTATTAACTAGTTTTTAATATTAATAAAGTGACAACAAATAACAACAAGATTTAAACTAATTAATTTAAATAATAATATTAATTTAATAAGAATTTTAATTTATAATCATAAAGGGTCAATTTCGCCGTCATTTTGCCGGATCTGCCTTACATCATGTTCATCACTGAATACGAGAGCGAATACAAGCGAAACTCGAAGCGGTAACAAGTGAAGTGAACTATCCGGACGATCTAATAGTGTTGTGAAGTAAGAGTAGTGACTGAATTAGTGAAGTCAAAGTTTGTATTTTGTTAAGGAATTATATGTGTAATTTTAAATTGTTAAATAAAGAGTCGTATTGTAAATTAAATTGGCGTTATTTTATACCCAACCTAAAGAAACAATAGTTTTTGTTTTTCAATATAGGTTATATTTTTGTGTCTAAAGTGGCGACCGTAAGACATCAAATTAAAAAATCTAGTATATTTATCGTTTTATTACTTTTTATATTGTTTTATTATTTTTGACAATGTAGCGTGTCTTATGTCTGTAACTTAATAATAAATCTATCTCTCTCTTTTTCCTTCTAAATCATTTTTTCCATATATTTTCATATCCTTTTCAAAAACTTTTTCTTTATCAGAAATTAAGGTAGAATTTGATGCAATCTCAATACCTCTCCTACGACTAGGATGAAGAAGTGCAATTCATTCGGCCATTCTGAATGATTTTATACATTAATGATGATAATGAAAAATGCATTGGTAAGAAAGTAGCTTGTGTATCTTCCATGGCTTCATACTTATTTCGTTTTTCATAACAATCGATCCACCGTTTTGCACCGGCTGTTAGCCGTAAAAGCGTGACTTTGGAAGAGAATATATTTCGCCGAAATAGGTCAACTATTATCATGGTGATAGATACACCAATGATAAATAAATCAGTTGCATTATGCATCTCGGATCAAATGGTATGCGACTACGGCTCGACACGTCTAATATCTAGATAAGTGGTATATTGGTGACAGAGTTCACTCCCACTGGCTATTTCTGATACACCTTAATGACTCATTTGAATATTATTCTAGTCTTGGCATGGGATAATATTCTTACATCTTTAACATATTTCTTTTTATTACTCTCAGCCTACTACGATAGTATAAATTATGTCTATGGTCTCACCATACAAAAGTATAACCAGTTTTTTTGACCGTCGGTGCGTTAATTTTTTTTTGCCTTGTAAATTATATTTTAAGCATTCATTGTTTTTATAACGATCAGGAGAAACCATTATGATTTAGCACAGCAAAAAATATATGAATGAATAGAAACTTTTTACATTTGTCGCTGGAATATGAATTCGCTCTAAGGTTTGTTGTGAACAAAACAAAAAATCGGAATATAATGTAATTAATAATGAAGCAATAATATATTTCAAAGCCGGCTTATATGATAAACCAGTCAAATTCGTTTAGAACACCGAGAGGGTTCCATACGAATATGACATAAAGATTTCTGTATGTTTTTACTCAGTAATTTAAAACTTTTTAGTTTCGGAGGCAAGGGGAAGGTATATTTTCCACAGATCTCTTAGTTAACTTTAAAACTTTGTTGATATGCAAGAAAAAATTGATATTGTCAAGTTATGAGCAAGAGTTGAAACCGACGATTTTTACAATTATCGAAATGGTTTGTGAAAAAATAAATTGATTATGTTAGCGCTTTTTCGGCCTACACATCATCGTCTGTTACAGTTTCATTGACAGACAATATGTGGGAGGCGTGTGGGTAATATGGTTAATACACACTTTTAGGCGCACTTAAAAAAACCGTGTACGTGCAAATCATATATCAATGTATACTGTGTATGGTTGGCGCCAATGATTCGCTGAATATGAATCATACTCATTCACACTAACTCGTTATAAACGATGCACTTGTGGTATCATTACGGATGTAGGTGCGAAAACATTCGAATGTCTTAAGAAGTTCGATAAATAGTATTAAATGAAATAAATGAATGTAAAAAACCACTGCAAACGAAAAGTAATAAAAGACTTTGATGTGGTTTGTGGACAATTTTATTGATAGTGGGTGTTATAATTATAATATTATAGAACACACATCCGAGAAATATAATATAAATAATACACATCTACACACATACACACATACTCACATATACATAAAAATATAATACACATCTGAGAAATATAAAGCTAATATTGAGATGTTTTAATAGGGTTTAATGTTGATAATTTTGAGCAGGAGTTGACTTTTCACTTGCTTGATGATAAGTTATTTATACTAATGGTATAAAGTGGTAAAGTTTCTAACTTTGTTTGTTTGTGGGGGGTAATCTTAGGAAAGACTGATCCGATCATATAAATTCTTTCATCTACGGGAAGCTACATCAAACGCGGGGGACATAGGATATAATTAATGCTGGCGAAATCGCGGGAGACATCTAGTTGTTCAACTAAAACCAAGCCGATACACACTCGATCGTTTTTCATGCTAACAATATCGACAGAGTTCTAATACTGACTTGAATGGGGTTTATAATAATTAAAAATATTTTGTTTTCGACGTAGGACCCGAAAATCCGGAACGTGGTGCTGATCGGCTCCCAGGGTTCGCTGGAGGAGAAGACCGTGACCGTTTGCTATGGCGCCGACTTCGTTAACGTTACCTTCGTCAATTTCTGTTGCACGAGGAAGGAGATCGCACAGGTATGCATGCTCTTTCTCAATGTGAGGGTTTTTATTACCCGGGAGCACGATCTAAAACAATTTCAATTCAGGAATGCTCCTCCTTGAACGTATACTTTTCTCTACATCGTATTCATCATCATCATCATCACCATCTCCAGCTCTTTTACGTCCCCACTGCAGGGGCCCAGGCCTTCCTTATGGATGGTTAAGGAGAATGGGCCATGGCCCTCCATGCTGGATCAATGCGGATTATACCCTCCATATTAACGAATGCAAATGCAGCCGGGACCAACGGTTTAACGTGTAGCTCGAGATAATAATTTTTTGGTCACCCATCCCGTGACCGACCCTTGCGAAAGTTGCTTAACGACTACGATCGCTGGCCGCGGCGCTTATCCACTACGCCACCGAGCTACTCACGTTTATTCGTAACAGTGTAATTGAGACATGAATAAATTAACAAGCAGTGGATATATACGTTGATGCCTAATTATATATGTACATCATCAAAGTGTTGGTAATAATAGCAAAGATTAGACATAACAACTGTGAATTCCCTGTTTTATGAAGTTAATATTTTAATTGGTACTAAGTGTCAAATTGTAGCTTTGATCTGGTGCCAATATATTACTCTGTTACTTTGTAACCATGTTGTTGCAAAATTGTTGGTCAAATATACTTCCATCTCGGTGCCCTAGTATTCTAACAGGAAATCACAAACAAAGCATTATATCGATTAAAGGAATCACGAAACGCTATCCAGGTCAACTAATACTACTAATTGAATTAAAGCTGGGATGAGTTGTATGCTTAATTATTGCATGCACAAACACGGCACGCACGGGTTAGAGGGTAAAATTAATTAACACAAGAGTCGAGTGGACAGCGAACGACGCGATTCTAAAACTGATATGTGTTTGTGACATGCAGAAAGCTATCAGCTAGTATTATATAGTCTAAAGTAGTGTTGTAGCGGTTATGTTAGTTGCGCTATCGATATAAAGCCTTAAAATGCTGTTAAACTATGTCAAAGTCAAATTAATCTTTATTCAAATAGACTCTTAGAAGTACTTTTAAATCGTCCAACATTTTTTTCCCTACCACTCGTTCAGGACGTCTATTGGCTGATAAGAAGAACGAGCAAGAAACTCACCTGCTCTAATACGAGTGATGACTGATGACATTCACAAAAACCATGTCATTAACGATGGTGTTATAATGATAACATAATAATTTAATAATAATGGAGACAAGATAATTTTTGATAGATGAGTTTAGAAGAAATCACCGATCCAGTTGCTGGATCATCTTAAATCCAAGCATTCTTATCTGTTATATAGTCGGATAACTTATAATAAGCTTTTTTAATAAGTATTTTTTTTAATAGTAGATTTAAACTGCATGATATCTAATTGTTGTATTTTGCTTGGGACCTTATTGTACAAGTGCACACAAAGACCCCTGAATGAGTTATTATTTTTCTAGCAGTCTAGTAACAGGCACCGTTAATTTATTTTTATTTCTTGTATTAAAATTGTGTACATCAATTTTTATAGAAAACAAACTAATATTTTTACGAACGTACATTAAGTTCTCGTATATGTATTGAGAAGCAACAGTCATAACGTCTATTTCCTTAAATTTCTCCATTAAAGAGTTCCTAATCCTAAGATTATAAATTTTTCTGAAGCACAAAAATCGTTTGTATGTCGGCAGTATTTCCCCACAACTATTTGACATATCTATTTTTCTTAATGGTATTGTTTAGTGACAAAAAGAAAATAATATCTGTAATATTGAAGTTTGACATAATCATTTGTTGATTGAGATGATAGTCGATGATGTTTATACTATTTTCTCGCTATGCAAATTGAAAGTAAATATTAAACATGTAAATTGTAGTTAAACTAAGCAAGGGCACTAAGTTTAGTACAGAGTTAGAGAAATATATTAAAGGTTTAAGCAATGATTATTTATCAATTTACAAAAGAGGAAAGAGGCGTTATATACAAGTTTTGTTGTCATTAGAAAAATGCCTCAATAGTGTCGTCATGATTCTATCGATATATTATTGCAACAGCACTAGTTTACAGCTATCGCGGCCACTGACTACGGTATGGGCGAATCTGTTGTTTGTCGTCTCGCCTTCCATTCCAATTTGAATAAACAAAATGCCGAGTCCGACCATATCTTCTCGCCTCATCTCTTCGTTTAAAAGGCGTCTAAATTTCAAAAGCATTCATCCGCTTCTATTTAAAGTAGTGTTGTTATATTGTTTTTACTATTTTCATTAAACTATTGTATTCTAGTGAACAGATATATTGACTATTACTGATTTTAACAACCGAAAATAGTCATTTGGTAATTAGTGCTTAATGATATGTGAACTCGCTTAATTTTTAGGTTCGTAAAAAATTGTGATCCAATCTTATTCTTTTTAATTTAACCACCACATTGGGATTTACTATTTAAATATTTTATTAAATGATGTATGAGCTCCTTGACTTTTCGGGTTCATTAAAACTAGTGATCTAAGCCTCAAAAATATATATTAAACGTTTAATTGAGGAAAATCGGAGATTGTAGATCACAGACCCTTTTTTTTCGATCACGTTTAAAGCTATTAATATTAAATACTTGGTTATTTTGTTAGCGCCATCGTTGTTTTAACGTTTATAACGATATCAATAACATTCCTTCATTATGTTAAACAAAACAGTTATTGCTAAAGATAACTTTTCTTTTTCAAAGTCTAAACCCGTAATTAATATAAATAGGAAAATAATTCTTAATTTCTACGATAATTTAAGAAACTTCATTTGAACTCGCGGATAAAAGCATGGCCAACAAAGCCTTGCCTGAATTCAACTTGAATTTCTTAACTGACACAAATTCAGGTTATTAAGGTTTATTTTCCAATTTTAATTATGTTGGTTTCAGTTTTTTGTATTTCAATAGGGTAAAAAAAAAAAACTATATCCCGCTTTCTGAAATGAGAATTTAAAGTGCACGTCTCAAACTATTTGAACGTACTTAAACCATTTCAAACGCCACTTTTCTGGTTTTTTTTTTTGGTTATGATCGGTTGATAGCAGTTTGATAAAACTAGGACTTTTGCCATGTAAAACGTAAACAAACTTAAGCCAATGAGAATTATCAGTTGAGTGAGATGTTGTGCTTGTCTCAATTCAGGAACCGGCCGTATTAATATCCGAAGAATCGATTTTCCTACATGCAGACCGACGCGGTGCAGAATACGCTTACTAATCTGTCATAAACATGTAAATGAACGTAATGTTGTGTTCGATACGGGTTACTTTTTTATACCTAGTCTTGTGTGTCTGCATTTTGAAGGTTTCATTGGTAACAATTTTGGATATATTATGGGTGACCAAAATTTTATTATCACCAACTGCGTGCTTCGGATGGCATGTTAAGTCGCTGAGTTCAACTGTATGTGAAATTGTTAAGATCCAGCGTTTCAAATTGGGCCCCCGTCGGTTATGGTTCGTTCTCTTTATTTAATACGTCCATAGAAGACCTGTGATTCTTTAAATCTTCAGTATTATGAATGCGGTACGAAATCGTTAAAGTATTTACTGCATCCAGTATTATGTCACTGTTATGATCCAAATGACCTTTCAGAGTACCTAATTGTAAATATTTTCCTTAAAGAAAGGAACAAATAATGAGGAAAAAGATTTGATGATGACCGATAATTCTTTGCTAAAAAGTCTAAATATTTGCAAACATGCGTTTAGATAAAACCTTGAACTGTTTGCTTTATTATGGGATACTAGCTGACCCGACAGACGTTGTCCTGTCTTAATTAATCTTCTTTTATTAATGATTTATCTGCGCGTTGTCTTAATTACGAATATTGAATTCGAAACGTCAAACGTCACAAAGTTACATTAAAAATGTTTTTATTATCAAAAGCACTAAGGTTAGATTAGAAATACTTTTCAAGTTTTCCACACAATTTTCTTTCATAAGAACCTCCTTCTGATAGTAACAAACAAAACAAAAAAGAATTAGCGAAATCGGTCCAGCCGTTCACATGTGATGGCGTGACCAAAGCAAATAGGGATTCATTTATATTTATACATTAAATTGTATTGAAATGGCATTAACAAAGCAGATATGCAGCTTGTATCCGTGAACAAAGGGACACGTCATTAACATTTTACATACCATCAATACCACCTCCAGCCGGACATCATTTCAGCTAACGTCAACGTTTTGGCAAGGAACGCGTATCAAAGGAGTTTTAATAAAACTCTTATTGACACAATTTTGTAAAATGTAACCAATGATATTACAATAAAAAAGGGTAGATGGATACTTAAATACTAAAAGTGTCACTTTAAAACTATGTTTATCTGGCGAAAGCGTTGATTGTCTGCATTTCTGTACCATAATCATTTTAAAAATGCCATCCATGCAAAACTGTAGAAACAACATATGTTAGTCGTGAAAAGACCAAGGGATCACATTTCATTCGCAATGATACATTTTTAATTGATTTGCGTTCAGAAATAAATAATGTGGCATAAAAAAAGTAAATACTCCGGTTGCAAATTGTGCAAAACATTTGTCAAAGATTATGTAACCAACAGAACGGACAATTCGACTTTAGTGACTACGCTCTACTTTACATTTATTTGAAAATCTATATGAGACTGAAACTCCGAAACCGGGGTTTGAATTCGGAGCATCGAAACCTGACTCTGGAGCTAAAAAATACTCCGATTCCGGTTTATTTTATCGCTTGAAAAGCTTAATTATTTATACACGGGCGAATAATATATATATATACTAACGACAAGGGAAATAATAATGTTAGACATCAACATTTTTAAGTTGAAATGTTGATCGAAGTCTTTAACTCGTTTAGGTAAAAGTAGGCATTAAACATCTATTAAATCGTTATACGTCTGGTCAGTGACATGTTCAATTATATATAGTCCATGAATAATTGGAGAGTATCGTGCTATGTACGTGTGTGTATGCTGGGG